ATTATAATTCACAGATAAGACAAGTTGTACTTTTTTATCTACATAGACCTACATAAACTTTTAGTAAGACATTTAAATTGTTTTACTTTTAATCTTGTGAAATAATTTTCATTTCTTCACTTCTTTAAAAGGCTGACCAGTTTGCCTGTATTGGGATCAGCCAATGTTGGACTACACTATGTTTAGTTATAACAACTAATTTATCCAGCCTTAGTATGTGGGAAACGATAAACCCCCAAATATACTGAGATGTCTCTTTGAAACAAAAATATTAAATTGTATGCATTTGATAAGAAACAGCCTTTATTCAATATATACATTTTTTAAAAATGAGCAACACAGATAGCAGACACGACTCCTTATTACCCATACTCTTGAATACCATTCAGAAATGAAGCCAAACTTGTAGAAAAATACAATGCAAGAAAATATTCAAGTTAAAAATAGATGCCTTTGGTTAAAAATCATCCCTTTTATAATATTCATTTGTAATCTAAATTCACAGCATGTCCCAGCAGCCCAAAGTAATTTTGTAAATGTCATTATATTTGTAGTATTACAGTATTTTTTCAATCCAGTATTTATGGAGGTCATTTGGCTGCAGCAACAAAATATTTCAACTCTAGGAAGACTGTGGCCTTGAAGCATTAGCTCCTTTGACAATTTTCTTATACGATTTTTACTTTGGAAGCCTCCGACACATGTAGTTTTCTTCACATACAGTACATCTGAACTTTTTATAGAAACCAACATTCTCTGGTAGACATTCAAGGGTAACCTTTTAACAGTTCAGTTTCTTGCTTAGCAAAGGGCTGATAATAACAATTTACCAAGCTGCTTCCCTCTGCATTCATCACTAAGGACAACATCTCCTATTCTTCCTCCCTTAGCACAGGAATGGATGAATTTATGTTTTATTATCAGAGTTGCTGTAGCAACAATCTGTCCTAGAGTCACATCTTCTGCAACTGTAGCATAATAATCTCCAGATTTCCTCATATGTTTAAAAGACTTCATAAATTGTTCAGGGCTGGCAACTCCAGTCTCTGTCAGCTGACCCCAGACCTTAAAAAAAAATCTCTAAGTCAGCAGTACAAAGAGGCCTCAAAACCAAGCCTTCTCCAGGATGCTGGGAAAACGGCTGGAGAAAATGTAGCTGTATTCTGACTCCAGTTCACCACTGTGAGTGGTCTTGGGTCAAACACAGGAGTTCCATCAGGTTTTATCTTTCTAGTAAGGTCCCTAGGCCCTGCAGTTTAAGTTCCAGGCGCATCGGACTTGCACTGACCAGGGTGCATGGCACCGGATCTGGATCTGGCTTCAGCGCCAGCCCCACCTCCTCCACTGCCCGCGCCACGGCTGGGAACCGTGGCCCAGATGTGGTAGCACCAACACCTCCACCCCACCTCTCCCGCCTCTGCCCCCTCACGCAGGGGGGATGTGCAGGCGGGCGGAGGCCAAGGCCCCTGCCTTCCAATTTCTAAAGAAAATGCCTACATTGATAATCTTACATTGGTTGGGAAAATGATATAAACCTCAAAAAACCTTAGAAGGCATATATTTGACTTAAAATGAGTAAGAACTCTCATGTCATTTCAAATATTTCTATATATTCATTTTTACCATGTGAGGTAATAATCTTGTTTTCACCTATTATTTATTTATTTTTGGAGACGGAGTCTTACTCTGTCGCCCAGGCTAGAGTGCAGTGGTGCGATCTCGGCTCACTGCAACCTCCATGTCGCAGGTTCAAGCGATTCTCCTGCCTCAGCCTCCTGAGTAGCTGGGATTACAGGCAGCTGCCACCACGCCCGTCTAATTTTTATATTTTTAGTAGAAATGGGGTTTCACCATGTCGGCCAGGCTGGTCTCAAACTCCTAATCTCAATGATCCACCCACCTAGGCCTCCCAAAGTGCTGGGGTTACAGGCATGAGCCACCGTACCTAGCCTTCACTTATTATATTTTCTTACTCAAAAGGTTGCTCACTTTTCTTTTACAAATATATACTTCATATTTCTCTTTATATGTTACCTTTTTCATCTGTTTTTTCTTCCTAATTATTATGTTTTTTCTGATGTTGGCTTTTTATTAATTTGGGGACAAACAAAATTATTACTAAATATCCTTGGGATCCAGAGGCCATAGGGTTATTTTTATTAGTAGGATGAGCTTCCATCCATCAACATCCTGAGGAATCATAGCATCGTAGAGCTGGAAGGGATCTCAAGGTATTATCTGGTTGAGCTCCATCCAGCAGGAAGGAATAGGTTGCTAGTCTTAATTTTTTTCTTTATTTTAAATGATCAAAGATTTTGATCAAAATCATTCAACATTCTACCATGGCTTTATTTAATAATCTTCCTGACAAGAAAACTGAATCAAAAAGGGTTCTGACCTCAGCATTATTACTATAATATATAAAACAACCCCTTGAATTGCTCTGAGCTTTAAGTTTCCCCATATAAACAGAGATAATGCTTTCTAGCTCACAAAGTTATTGCAACTGTTCTGAAACCTGGGAAAGAACTATATAAATATAAAGTAGTATTAAAAGAGGAAAAAAGATCAGGCATAGGAGCGCACGCCTATAATCCCAGCACTTTGGAAGGCCGAGGAGGGTGTACGGCTTGAAAGCTCAGAAGTTTGAGACCAGCCCAGGCAACATAGGGAGACCTCACCATATCTCTACAAAAGAAATTAAAAATGAGCCAGGCATGGTGGTATTCATGTGCGGCCCTAGCTACTCTGGAGGCTGAAGTGGAAGGGACTGCTACAGTCTAAGGCTTTAGTGAGCTGTGTTCGTGCCACAGCACTCCAGCCTGGGTGACAGAGCGAGACCCTCTCAATTAAAAAAAAGAAAGAAAGAAAAAGGAAGAGAACACAGTAGCGTGTAAAGCGCTCTGAAGGCATGTTAAGTTTCAAATCCCATCTCAATTTACTAGTTGCATAACAATGAGCAAAGTATTAAACCTATCTGAACTTGTAGTTGTTCCATTCAGAGAACAACTGCAAAACGGATACAATCCCTACATCACTTGGTTGTTGCTGTGAGGAGTACAGAAAACTAAATGCACCTAGCACAGGTCCTGGCATTGTGTCGGCCCTCAATAAATGTCAATTCCCTATTCCACATCAGGTTTCCACACTGCTGTGTAGTTCGCTTTCCTGCAAGATACCCATGTGAAATTTCATCAGACAAACAGAATAATTAGAAAACATATAAACCTTTCCTTTAAGATTCATCAAGCAACAAGATGACTACCTTCTCTTATCAGCCCTGCTTCAAAAAATGGAAAGAAAGGAGGTGGAGTTTCCTTTAAATTCAAAACCTTCTGCACAGCAAATGAAATAATCAACAGAGTGAATAGGTGGCCTGCAGAATAGGAGAAAATATTTGCAAACTATGTCTCCAACAGAGATAACATCCGGAATGTATGAAGAGCTCAAAAAACTAAAATCAAAACCAAAAAAAAAACAAAAAATCCCATTAAAAAGTGGGCAAAGGACATGAATTGACATTCCTCAAAAGAAGACAAATGGCCAGCAAGTGCATGAAAAAATGCCCAACATCACTAATCACCAGAAAAATGCAAATTAAACCACAATGAGATATCATCTTGCCTTAGTCAGAATGGCAATGATTAAAAAGATGAACACAACAGATGTTGGTAAGGATGCAGAGAAAAGGGAACATTTACTCACTGTTGATGAGAATGTAAATTAGTATAACCTCTATGGAAAACAGTACAGAGATTTCTAAAAGAACTAAAAATAGAACTACCATTTGATCAAGTAATCGCCCTACTGGGTATCTACCCAAAGGAAATCATTATACCAGAAGGACACCTGCACTCATATGTTTATCACACCATTATTCACAACAGCAAATTTATAGAACCAACTTAAGTGCTATCAGTGTATAACTGGATGAAGAAAATGTGTATGTATACACAGTCGAATACTATTCAACCATAAAAAAGAATGAAATCACATCTTTTGCAGCAACAACAATGGAACTGGAAGTCATTATCTTAAGTGAAACTCAGAAAAAGACAAATACTGCATGTTTTCACGTAAAAGTAAAAGCTAAACCATATGTATGAACATAGAGTGTGGAATGTAGAATGACAGACAATGGAGACTGAGAAGGGTTAGAGAGGGAGGAGGCTGGATGATGACAAACTATTTAAAAGGTAAAATGTATGTTATTCTGGTGATGGAGATACTAAAAGCTCTGACTTCACACTACACAACATATCCATGTAACAAAATTACACTTGTATCCTCCTGACACACACACTCTTCCAAAGAATAAACAGTTTAGAAGGTGAAAAATGTCACTAAATTGTGAAGTCTTTAAAGGAAAAGAACCCGTCTTATTCATTTTCGTATTTCCAGATTATAACACCTGATAAAAGTAAGCACTCAAGCCATTTCTTAGATGAAAAAGTCTGTTGGGGGAAATCCCTGATTTTAGAGATTAATAAATGAAAGGTTCAATCATATTTCATATAGATATTGGGCAACAAATTAAAGATACTCTGTGGACTAACATTTTGAAAAAAAGACTTTACATCTTGTCTTTGGGCTGCTATAGCAAAATACCATAAACAGGTAGCTTATAAACAATAGAAATTTATTCCTCAAAATTTAGGAGGCTGAAAAGTCCAAGATCAAGGTACCAGATGACTTGGTGTCTAGTGAGGTCCCACTTTCTGGTTCACAGATGGTGCCTCTGACTATGTAGTGGCCTCCTCACACGGCAGAAAAAGGCAGGTAGCCCTCTCAGGTCTCCTTTATTTTAAGGGCATGAATTTCACTCACCAAAGGCCCCATGCTCTGATAACATCACATGGTGATTAGGTTTTCAACAAATAATTTTGTGAGGGCACACAAACATTTAGTCATAGCCCGTATCTAACTGATTTAGAAAATAAACATTGTTCTTTTTATTATATCATATACCAAAAAACTTATAAAAATAAAATAATGCTTACCTTGTTATGTACAAAAACAATCCTTAAGTCAGGTTTAAGGATACCATAGCTCATAAGGAGATCTTGGATCTTTTTTATTTCATCTTTACATTTTTTAGCAGTTGAGTAAAACTGCTTTCTTACAGGTAGATTCTTAAATAATCTTAAAGCAGTTACAGTTGTACCTATTGGCAGACAAGAGAAAAACATATTTAGATTTGGAAGGAACTTCACAGATCTTCAAATCCATATACAATTTGTAATTAACCCCTTCTATAACTGGAAAGCCTTCTCCTCCAATTCTAGAAACCCAAAGGCCCAACTTTGCAAACTATTCTGATTCCATGCTAGACTCTACTATTTGTAACAATACTGAACTATGAAGTATGACCTCTTCTATGTGGTCTAAACAAGCATAATCTTGCTTCTATCACTGTGGAGAAACATGTGCTTATGAGAATGCAGTATCGTAAGAAATCTGCTGGTGCTCAAACTACCTGGGAATGGTGCTTACTCTGGACTTTACAATCTACAGGAGATATAAGATTACACAGTGTATGTAATAACCTTATGTCACTGGAAATTCTTGCCTGAAATAATATCTAGTAACCTAGTTTAATTTACCTCATTTTCAACAACATTCAAAAACACAGGATAATCTAACAAAAGAATTCCCTTAACTTATAATTTAACTGAAAAGCTGAACAAAGGTGTAAATATTATACTGCTGTACTATCAGGTTAACCACTGGCTTTTACTCAAAAAAAAAAAAAAAAAAAAAAAAGGCCACTGCCATATAAAATTAGGAATGAATGTTTGTCATAGCCATATACGATAGGTCCATATTTTTAAAACACTGAAGAATGAAACATTTTAAAACTACTAGTCACCAGTTAGTCTCAGAGTTATGAAATCAATCTTCCCAGGTGATTCTTGTGAATGTAGAGTAGAGAATCATTACACTGAGGAGTAATGAAATAAATGTGTAATGTAGTGTTTCTCAACCTTGGTAGCACTGACATTTGGCCAGATAATTTGTTGTGGGGGACTATCCTCAGCATTGCAGAATGTTTAGCAGCATCTCTGGCCTCCTACCCATTAGATGCCAGTAACATCCTCCCTAGTTGTGACAATCAAATATCTCCAGATACTGCCAAATGTTCCCTGGGAAACAAAGTTGTCCTGGTTGAGAACCACTGATTTAGTATTTAACAATGACCATTTTTTTTTCTTTTTAAATAAAATAGAATAAAAAGATAAAACAGAGTGCATCACCTATAGTTAGAATAAATATGTCATGACATTGTTTTGATTAGCTATGTGTGAAATGGGTTGCCACGTAAAATTTATTTATTAGCATGAATCAGTCAAAAAGGCTAAAGTTGCTGCAATAGGTCAATCTTTGTCCTACTGCTTATAAAACAGGGCAAAAACACAAAGAAAATGGTAATCATAAAGAACATGTAAGACTTTGAAACCCTTGTGTAAAATTTTATATAGTTTTAAAGTTCCAAGAGGAGAAAAAGAAATTACTTGTAGTTTTAAAGTTGTAAAAGGAGAAAAAGAAACAAATGGAGATGTAGTTAAATAAATAATAGAAGAAAGCTTTCTGGAGTTAAAGGCTTAAGTGCAGATTTCAAGAGCTTACTTCATTATAAGGAGGAATATCTTAAAAAGAAAAAAACTACATTCTAATGGAAATTCTAAATTTTGAGGACAAGAAAAGAATTTTACAAACTCTCATACAGAAAGAACAAGTTTCATACAAGACTAACATCAGATTTCTCACCTATAACACTAGAAGACAAACAATTTATAAACTATTAAGAAGAAATTAAGAAACTGACACCCAGGTATAGGGCAAAATAAAGACATTTTTGGACTTGCAAAGATCCAGAAGCATATCACCCAAATGTATTTGATGAAAATAATGGAAGATAAACTCTAACCAAATGACGATAATATCAAAATAGAGATTTCTCCAGGTGGCGGGTACACCTATAATCCCAACTACCTGGGAGCCTTAGGCAGTAGGGATGGCTTGAGCCCAGGAGGTAGAGACCAGTCTGGGCAACAAAGTGAGATCTTGTCTTTAAAAAATAAAAAATTAGCCTGGCATGGTAGTACATGCCATCGTGTCATGGGAGGCTGAGGTGACAGTATCCTGTGAGCCCAGGAGTTCAAGGCTGCAGTGAGCTATGATTATGCCACTGCACTCAAGCCTGGGTGACAGAGCAAGACCCTGTTTCTAAGGGGGAAAGAAACACATTTTATGATGACATGATGAGAAAATAAATGTGGTGAGCAAAGCATCTTAAAAGTTTGACTGTAAACAGAAGATCCTAATGTGGGTACACTTTCCAATACAACTTAAATAAGGATTCATGAAAAGAAAGATATATAATGTAAGAGAAGGCCTAACAATAGCTTGTAACTCAATGTTATAAACTATTATTAAACTATTATCAGCATTAGTCTCTTGGTTCTCACACTGCTATGAAGATACTACCCCAGACTGCGTAATCTGTAAACAAAGGAAGTTTAGACTCACAGCTCCACATGGCTCTGGGGGCCTCAGGAAATTTACATTGATGACAGAAGGAGAAGCAGGCACCTTCTTCACAAGGTGGCAGAAGAGAGTATGAGTGTATGAAGGAGGGACTGTCAAACACTTACAAAACCATCAGATCTCCTGAGAACTCACTATTCCTGAGAACAGCATGGGAGAAACCACCCTCATGATCCAACCGCCACCTTCTCTTGACAAGTGGAGATTACAGGTCCCTCCCTCAACACATGGGGATTACAATTAGAGATGATATTTGGGTGGGGACACAGAGTCAAACCATATCAGTAACACTGGTTAACTGGAGAAGAGGGGTGGGAATGAAGAGGTATAAAGCTTACATGATCCTACATAACCTGGTCCATGGCTATCTTCTCTCCTACCAATGTCCTTCCTTCTGTTCCTACAGCACGTCAGACTTGTTTCCATCACAGACCCTTTGTACACGTTCTTCTGTCAACCTTGCCATAGCTAACTCCTTCAGATCTCAGCTTGAGTATGTCTTTTGAAAATCCATCCCTAAATGCCCTATCCAAGGCTGCTCCTTCTACACTGGAACTATGTTTCCTTTCTTTTTAGAAAATGTCACTAGTTGATAAAACTTTTGTCTGCCTCCCCTCTTAGGATACAAGTAAGAGAGCAAAGGACTACCATATTTACCATTATATCCCTAGTACCTTAAACAATGACCAATAATCTATCAGAATTTTAAAAAGTCTTAAATGAATATATTGAAGAAAGAAAATAAGAGAAAGTAATAAAGTTTGTATTTGAATTATTTATTTATGGAAGACACATAGCACTTGTAATTTTTGAAAGGAAATTTACTATAAAAAATAAGATAGGAGGGAAAAGATCTTTGTGGAAAAAGACTAAAGGAAGGGCAATATTCCTATTTTGCTCACACTTGATCTTTTCCTGCTTTTTTCTTGATCGGGTCCTCGTTAGCATATAACATTACTAACGATTTTGGTGGGGGGAGGGGTCTTCCTCTATTTTTATGTAGAGCATTTCCTTGGCTTAACTGCACACATCACTTCCAAAGGCCGGATTAAATTCCTTGGAACACCATGGCGTTTCTCACTAGTAACACTTTGGTGCTACTATTCTTTGCCTTAGGAAAGTAAACAGGTCATTGCCAAATTTTGGAGCAGAAGCTGATGGAGATCAAGAAGTGCATGCATTTAGCAATTATAGCAGGTATGCATTCTGCCTCCAATGCTTAACGGAAAACACAGACACACCGGAATCCATACCAGATCCTATTCACAGAGACCTCACTTCATTATTTGTTTTCCCTAGATGTTTCCTCCATTCTCCTGTCGTCAACTACTACCTATATGCCAATGATTCTTTTCACAGAAGTTGCAAGCAGCACTCACACTTTTGTGAATCTCTTAAAAAAAAAACACACACACACACTTCCAATTTAACTATGATACACTGCCTTAACATCAGTCCTGTGCAACACATGAAATGGTCACATCACCCTCTCACTGCTTTCAAATTTCTTTACCCCCATAAATGTGGCAATTTCTTCTGGTGCCATCAATTTTAATGCTTTGCATATGACAGCAATCCTTTGGCATTTAACACAGCTTCACTTCATTTACTTGTGATTATTTCCCTTTTTAAGTGTCATAAAGCATTTGTTGCAATAAAATATGAAGATGTTTATTCCTTCAATTAACACATGAATTATCAATATTGCACAAAACTCAATTGATACAACAATAAGAACATACAAAATTGCTGTCTTTCCAAAATGGATTTTGGGAGGCCATTAATTATAAGCCACAATTTGTTTTTAGGATGTCAAATGTGACAAAATGTGTATCTTAGAATTGATTAACTAAGACCTACACTACTCTTTTTTGTTGTTGTTGTGTTTTTTTTTTGAGACAGAGTCTGGCTCTGTTGCCAGGATGGAGAGCAGTGGCGCGATCTCGGCTCACTGTAACCTCCGCCTCCCGGGTTCAAGCGATTCTTCTGCCTCAGCCTCCCAAGCTGGGACTACAGGCACGCGCCACCACACCTGGCTAATTTTTGTATTTTTAGTAAAGACGGGGGTTTCACCATATTGGCCAAGCTATTCTTGAACTCCTGACCTTGAAATCCACCTGCCCTGGCCTCCCAAAGTGCTGGGATTACAGGCTTTAGCTATCGCACCTGGCCTCTTTTAAGTTTTATAGACAGATGCTCACTCAGTATCTTCACCTGGTTATCCTCAAAGTATCTGAAATCAACCACATTCAGGCCGGAAGTCATTATCTTCTTCCTTGGGTCTGATACTACACCTAACCTTTTTTTTCCCATATAACATCAACATCTAACTGTTTCCAAAGGCAGATACTACAGACTAAATTGATTCTTCCCTCTACTTCTTACTGCAATATTGCATTAAGTCTTATAGGTCTATCTTATTCTATCCTAAAAGTCTCTCTTAAATTTATGTAAAATCCTTTCCCTCCCCTCAAACCCTAGTAGTTCTAGTATCTCTTATAATAAGAAAATTTACAGTAGAAATTATCAGTTAATCTCATAAATAACATACTATCAATCCTACTAGTTAATTTTGTAAATAACATCGTATCAACCTTCTGCTTAAAATAAATTCCA